CAAATATGCCCTAAAAAATAATAAAATTGTATTTTACCAGTCTTGGAGATTTTAATCTTGTATAGTTTTCAATATAAAAAGATTTAATAACTATTGATATTTATACAAAAATATAGAGCACAGTACAAAATCGCCCTTGCGGAGGGCGGCAAGGGGGCCGCCTGCAAAATTCCATGCCCCCTCGCCGCCCATTTGCAGGCGGCCCCCCGCACAGTACAAAATCGCCCTCGCCGAGGGCGGCAAGGGGGCCGCCTGCAAAATTCCATGCCCCCCCTCGCCGCCCATTTGCAGGCGGCCCCCCGCACAGTACAAAATCGCCCTCGCGGAGGGCGGCAAGGGGGCCGCCTGCAAATTTCGTTGACGGCCGTCGCCCGAGAGCGAACGGCCGTCTGCCACGTCATTTTCGCCGCCCTCTGGGAGGGCGATTTTTAAAAATCGCCTTCCCAGAGGGCGGTAGGCGACTACTTCCGTCAATTTTCAAAATAGAAAATTATTTTTGTAAAACTTTTAATAAAAAAAATTAAAAATAAAAAAAATTCCCGGACTGGCGATGGGCAGGAACAGGCCGTGTTGGGCCAGAGAACCATTTGGGCCATACAACCACTAACCTGCCTAACCACCAGATCACTATTAAGAATCAACGTGTGCACACCGTATTGGCTGCCGTCTGTCCAAATCGCTGGGAAGCCGGCAAATCCAGCACCTTTAAGAAATTTAGTGTGTGGAACAATTGTGTTGGGTATAGGCACCAAGTACAGGGCTTGCGATGCTTCATTCTGATTCTGTTGCTATAGATTAGTACCTGCCTGCTATAGATTAAGGTGATGTCTGGTTTCCATGGACTTATTCCAAGTCTCTGTCACATCGAATGTTTGGACACTAATTTAGAGTATTAAACATACACTGATTACAAAACTCATTTCATAACATTGGACTAATTCGCAAGACGAATCTTTTGAGTCTAATTACACCATAATTTTGACAATGTGATGCTACAGTAAACTTTTGATAATTATGGATTAATTAGGCTTAAAAAATTCGTCTCGTGGATTAGCTCTCATTTATGAAATTAGTTTTTTTATTAGTCTATGTTTAATACTCTAAATTAGTGTCCAAACATCCGATGTAACATGGGCTAAAAAGTTTTAGCCCCATCTAAACACCCCTAAAAGCAATTCCACAAGGATCACTAGAAGATAATATGCCCTTTGAATACTAATACGGTCACAGGGTGGCAACATGCTTTGAATGATGGCTTTCAAGGCTAAAACATTTCTTTTTCAGATTTTCAGGGTGGTGGTGGTCAGTGGATTGAAGACAATGGAAACTTGGTACAAGGAGATTCTTATAATTCGAGACTTTTGAGTATTGCGTATTATTGTAACGGATAACATGATTCTCCACTGAGGGTACTATTTATGGTTAACCTCATGTAAGCATACAACATTATCTATAATTTATTTAATTATACAAATCAACATGCAAGTACATCTAATCATCACCCCTCATTTTCACAATATTAACAAACATATCTATTATTTTTATAATATTTAACATACAATTATTAATATGTTCCACATCATCATCCACTAATAATTATTAAATTTAAACATCATGCAAACCTGCTATAGTATCTATAATTTTATAATTTATTAAATTTTAGAGCTTTTAAAATACAAGCATGTTAAATCATCATCCCACATAAGTTACATAATATTTCAATATATATCTTCATTATTTTTATAGTATGCTATGTATCTATATAGTTCATCCTCACTTAGTTAATGTTATTTCTCTCTTATCTCATTAAGCGATATCACATTAACTGTTTTTAGTGCTTAAATGATTAATATATGGTCCAAATTATCTCTCTCCTTTTCTTCTCTCATTATTCTATATCACCTCAATTTTTTTAGCCTTTGGATGATTAATATATAGTCCAAACTATCTCAATACTGTTATTCTTTCATAAAGTCATATTACATTACTTTTACAATTAAATTATCAATCTATAGACTATTTAAATTTAAATTATCATAAACCATGTTAACTTACATAATCTTATGTTGTCTAGCTATCTTACGCATAATTTTTACTTATTGTTATCATACTAAACTCCTACAGCAACGCGCGGGGTTTTACCTAGTTTATTGATGATTGCGTGTGTATGCATTAGCAATAAATGTTGTGGTCTAGATTATAAATCTATTAACTTATTAAAGTAATATAAAAAAGCATCCACGTTCGTTCTTATGGCCTAGAAATTCTCATATTAATTGGAGAAAAAGAAAAATAGAGGTCATATAGAAATAAGAAGAGTATAGAGTCCATATAGGAATTTAGAATTAACTAAAATATGGAATAAAAATAATAAAATGAAAAATAGAGTTTATAGTCCATATAGAAATACAATATACAAATAAATAAAATTTGAAATTTAAAAAATGGGAAGAAGAATCTAGAGTCCATATAGGAATACAGTTTAGAAGTAAATAAAATTCTAAATTAAAAAATAAAGCATATTGAAAAATGAGTTTAGAGTCCACATATAAACACAATTAGGAATTTTCAAAATTTAGAATTAAAAATAAATAATATTGGAAGAAGAGCCTAGTGTCTATATAGAAATATAATTTACAAATAATAAAAATTTGAAATTAAAAAAACAATGAATATTGGAAGACGAGTCTAAAGTCCATATAGGAATACAATTTAGAAATAACTAAAATTTGTTATTAAAAATAATTAATAACTATCACATACAATATGAATATTACTCATTGGTAATTTGGTAAAGTTAGTACAAAATTTAAAATTATGTTGTCATTTTAATATATTTTAATAAAATTGCGAAAACATATATGCTATTATATGGGAGAAAATATAATGATGCTAACCGCGCAATCTGTACGGGCCACCATGCTAGTTCATCTATAAATATTTAGGGCATTTGTAATCTCACCATTCTGAACTCTAATTGTGTTTCCATCTAGGGATGGCACTGGATCAGGTCGGGCACGGGCAGAGCGATTCCATGCCCGACCCGAGACCCACACGCTCGCAGCCGACCCATGCCCGCCAAGACTTTCGGGCAAATCCCCATGCCCGTGCCCATGCCTGACGGGCACGGGCATGCCCGACGGGTATCCACTGGATACCACATAATCTAAAAATAAAAGTATAAAATTTCTATTCAATACTTCTATAAATAATAAAACATTTGGCTATCTGAAAATTGCAGCCTTTTATTGGGAGGAAGTTCAGATCTGCATTACCTGAAAACAGGATAGACGCATTTTCTCCAGAGTTGAGATACTTCACCGTGCGCATTCTAAAAATAATGGGGAATGCGGTGAACACGCCAATCTCCGTCTGCAGCGCTATAGCTCGCATGGCCGTAGGAAAGGCTGCATGAACTGCCTGCCGCGAGCCCGCGACTGTGGGATAGCTTCTAGCATGAGCTGCACTGCACGCCTGGCCGGTCGGCTCACCGCAGAAGGGGAGGTACGTGCTGGTGGTGGTGGCAGGAATAATTGCTCTACCCCGGCCAGGAGAAGAGCTGCAAAAGCGTGGACAAGTGTAGCGCCCCCGGCGTGCACGTGGCGCGCCAGCTGCTGGCGACCCCGCGGCCCGCGTAGCCTAACATGCCCGCACATGTGCGTGCATGCCTAAGCTAGCTAGCGAGCTAGCTCGGCTCACCAGACGGACGATGTACTGCGAATCCGGAGCTCCCGTCGCGCGCGCCACGACGGCGTCGATCGAGAGTACAACCTGGCCTGCACCTGCTCCTGCTCCGCTGCTCGATCCCCCTCCATGATCCATGGGCAGCTATGGGCACAGGACACGTAATACGTCGTCCATACGGGTGGCGGCCTGACGCGCGCCTCCCTCCCTTTCTCCTCGAGCGCGCAGGGCAGGACCGGGTCCTCTCCGCGTACGCGCGCGAAGCGGCGTGCATGGGTCATGGGATGGGAGGGCTTAAGCTAAAAATTCGCGTCAAACCATGTGGCCGGGGCGGATTCCAGCCGAGCCGGCATGTACGGGGACCCGGGAGCAGGGCGGTGTCGCGGATGTGGACGGATAACTCGGTTTCTTCGTTTGCCGTGGCGGATGATCTCCGTTAATCTACTATACTCACCGAGCGTGAACGCATCATCGGGGGAACGGGATGCCGCCACATACTCGCATGCACGCAAAGGCGCACCTGGTGTCACGTGCAGTCGTGCAGATGATCCGAGCACCGGTTGACCTGTGAAAATAAAGGCTGCACATGAGCCAACATGTATATGCGAAGATCGTATCGCCGTGCGTGATGCATGCCACTTCCGCGGCTCTGCCCGTTTGGGCATCTCATCTTTCCTTGAAAAAAGAACACAATTTGCTCTGCCCAAGTGCCCATGTAGTACAGATTTTTATGCTCAGGTGTTCAAGAGTAACAAAAGAAGAGGAGAGAGAACTAAAATCAAAATTAAAGGAGAAATTTGAAAAGACAAATGCTGCGTATTACTACTATTCAGTACATTTCGTAATTTACAGCTCATCCTTTTATAGTAGTAGTAGCTTTCATGCATGTTGGCTTGTCTGGTCGCATGGCACATGTTACCCGTACACGACATGACGCCCACCCTGCGTACGTACTACATGTTAGCCTTATCACACAATTAATGAACATGTCACTAATAATATGCGTAGACTGTGTACATATCCTGTATACGAGTACCACGACTGAAAAGATGATAACGCTGAGATATCAGATCAGATGTTGAAGAGAAAATGTGACGTATCGTCTTCCACCATGTACCACAAGTCCACAACACACTGGCTACTATACAACTAGGTAGCCCCCCACGAAACCCCCTCTCGCTACACGTAGCAAGTTGACTAGAGCGCGACTACAGGCTAGCTCGTACCAAAGCCACGCCCAGATGCGCTGCACTCCCCCCACGCCCGCCCACATGCGCCTGCCACCCCCACCCCCGCGCCGTTCACTTCCTCCCCATCGCGACAAAACAAAACGCCGTTTTACGCCGCGCTGCTACCACAGTGTAGTCCACCTCAGCTGCGCCCGCGCGCGAGCGGGCGCGCCGTGAGATTCTCGCCACCTTCTTTTACTGGCGCGTTAGACGATTTATAGGCGCGCCACGCATGGCGAGTTGGTCGCTCGCTCGTCACGCGGTAGCGGTAGCTTGCTACCTCAGCTTCAGCCCACCCCGAGAAAGACTGGCTCGCTGGCCTGGCCATGGACCGCCGTGTCGTGACCGTGCAGGCGGAGGAGGACGAGATGGTGCGGCAGCGGCAGCGGCAGCGTCAGCTCGTGCGCGAGCGTGGGAGGCGCATCAAGGCGGCGGCGGAGCTCGGGCTGGCGCGGTCGTCGTCGGGCGGGCGGCAGTGGGGCCGCGCGCTGGGCCGGCGAGCTCTCCTGCTCCGGAAGGGCCCCGCTACAGCGGCGCTCTCGTCATCGACGCTACTGCTAGAGACGTCGGCTGGCCAGGAGGAGTCGAAGCAGGGGAAGGCGATGGAGGGAGAAGCAGAGCAGGAGGAGGAGGAGGAGGAGGTGATGGTGGATGAGAAGGTGGCGGTGCTGCGGCAGCTGGTGCCGGGGGGCGAGGCGATGGCGGTGGAGCGGCTGCTGGACGAGACGGCCGATTACATTGCCGCTTTGCGTGCGCAGGTCGGCGTCATGCGCGCGCTCGCCTGCCTCCTGTCCGGCCTCGGCTCGCCGCCGGAGAAAGAAATATCCGTCACGCCGGAGAAGCCTATATGAGAATGATGCGTGGGCGCCACAGGTTACGTGTGTCTCGTAAGAGGTCTCGTGTAAGCGCGCGTTTGAATCTTCTGTAGTGAGTTTCGTTCGTTTCTACTCTTCGTACGCATTACTTGTTCCCTTTCACCTCTTGCTAGGCTGGCAGGCAAACGCATGTTATTTTGTATAGTGGGACAACAAGCTAGATGCAAGTAGGAATTTTAGTGTAAGCTCTGCCACTTGAATTTTCCACCTCCTGGTGCTGTTGCCCCTGTCGTCGGAACATGGAAGTAGCAGCAACAAATGCAGATTAGCTAGCTGCTGGTGATTAGGAGTTGTGAATGCATGGCACCAGATTTTATTGAATTTTGTTGCTAGGCAAAAGTTAGTACGAGTATACATTTGTAAAGGGAGGAAAGGCAACACTAGAGCATGCATGCATGCTCGTCCTAGCATCCTAGGCTGATAAAGTATCGCGATGTGAGCATGCATGTGGCTCGATGTTTGCGAGGTACTTTTCCCATGTGGCGAGCGCGATCGTAGATTCGTCGAGGGATCACGGATCTGTAGCCTTGCGGTCATGTAGGTTCTCTTCTTAATTCAGACAGCTGCCTGCCTCAAATGCTATGGAGAAGAAACAGAGCTAGCGCACTGAATACTGCGTCATCTGCTTCCGTGAAGTGATTCCTGCATTCCTTTCTGGGTGAGGCAGAAAAAACGTCAACGTGCACAGAGTGAACTCTCGGTTGGTCGAACAAAGCGATCATATCAAATCAATCCATGGGCTCTTTAATGAAAAGAAAGAAAAATCAGAGCCATCGCGTGATCAAATCTCACAATCTGTTAGCTAGACCAGATCCGTACAAATAACGTTGCAATGAAACAGCTATTCACGGTAGAAAGATATACTGTACGGTAATATGACTAACGGCCAAGTCGAAATCTTTGATAGGCCAAACGCGATTCCCCCCTTCTCCTATATTCGGGGGGCCCAAGTTCTTTACTTCCCAACCGCGTAGTACGCAGTTTCCAGAATTCCAGGTCAAAGCCAAAACACCTCCCCGGGTAGAAATCTTTCGGATTATGCTGAAAAAAAAAAAGACCAGAAACTCAGAGAGTAAAAGTGCACGTGAACGAACAATTAATTCGTCGGCTCTCGGCTGAATTGATGCGGAAAGCAACATCCGTATGCTAGCGCGTGTAGGAGTATTTTGCATTATTGGGCTTGTCGTCTCGTATTGTAGTCATTACACAGCCTTTGATGCGGTTTCGGCCCACAACGTGCAGGCTTTTCTGCCGGTCACGGCCTAGGCTCAAACAGCTGCTGCCTCATGCCACTGCCGGTGCGGCGCTCATCAGCGGCACAAGTAAATTCAAAAGTCACTTAAATTCATTTGAGAGACTCGGAATATCCATCTCTGTTCAATTCCGTGTATATGTAGAAGCGAGGAAACCAAAAAAAAAAAAAAGGAAAGAGTTTTGGATCATGCAGGAACGTAAAACTAACTACTGGAATCATGCTGAATTTCAGTGACTTCTGAACTCTCCTGATCCTAGCAAGGAGAAAAAAAACACTGAACTATCAGTAGTGTTGCGATTGCGAGCAAGTACATATCAACAGTCCTCGGTACAAAAAGTTTATAACACAACAGGGCAGACGCTATCAGCGCCCAAGTTTATCCCTTTGGCGGTAGGGCATGAGGCCAGCGGGCAGTGCTCGCCGGCCGTACCCCACCAGCTGATGCTCCGGTTCTCCATCGACAGCGAGAAGTAGAGCAGCACCGCCATGAACGCGACGCCGGCGTCGAGCGCAGCCGAGAGGATGTAGTTGTACCTCTTCCACCACAGCTTCCTGTACCGGAAAACGAAGAAGTTGAAGATGATCCCGATGATCAGCCAGGAGTTGTAGTTCACGGCCGTTGCCGGCGGCATGTAGGAGGTCGCTCCGATGAGCACCGGCAGGTTGATCATCGGTATCCAGGTCTTGCTGGGGAACGCCCTGTGGAGCAAGTACACAATGACGGGTCCCACGGCGCCAGCGAGGAAGAACCAATTGAGCGCGCCGTAGTTGCCGAGTGGCCCGAAGATGCGGCGCGGCCCGACGAGGCCCCAGATGACGGACGCGTCGAAGAAGACGCGGTCGTTCGGGCACGTCCACGGGCTATCCGCCGGGAGGAGCGCGTCCTGGCAGATGTTGGGGATGGAACCCAGCAGCCAGTACGCCACCACGAGGTTGACCGTGGAGGCGACCACCGTGCCGACCAACTTCACGAGGAACATGGACTTGGGGGGTATCTTCATGTAGTGGCCGAGCTTGAAGTCGGACAGGAAGGACACGGCCTGCGACATGCTCATGTAGCCGTACGCCTTGAAGCAGACGTTGGCGATGGGCTTGCCCGGAAGCATGAGCCCGATGACGTACTCGGTGATGATGTTGAGCCCTGGCGTCTGGTTGGTCGTGGCCGTGATGATGCTGATCGGCAGCGTGAACACGAAGGCCATGGCGCAGGCGAAGAGGAGACCCCACCACGGGAGCTGCACCGCCGACCTGAGGACGGTGCAGAGCAAGAGCGAGACGGCCATGGACAGCGCGAGCATCGCGTAGAACCACCAGCTCGGCACGTCGCGGTAGCTCTTCATCAGCCTCGTGTGCACGTCGGGCTTGTCCCTCTGCGACGCGCGGAACCGGCGGTAGATCTCCTTCCCGTGGAACAGCGCCACGTGCGTGACGGTGGCCGCGATCGTCGCGAAGCCGAGCCCGTAGGACAGCGCAAAGAACGTGCTCATGTTGATCCGCCCCATCCGATGGTACCCGTCCATGTCGATCTCGAAGCGGTCGTTCACGATGGCCGTGATGTCGTATGTGCTGCCGGTGGCCGTGAACAGGTGCGACGAGAAGATGGGGAACCTCCGGGCGTTGTACAGGTCGAGGCCCCAGTACGACACCGGCACGACCACGTACATCAGGAGCACGTAGCCGGCCAAGATGTTGGCGGTGGCAAAGAACGGCGAGATCAGCGGGCTGTACAGGAAGGCTGACACGGCCGTCCAGTCGAGGGTGAAGGCGCCGAGGCCCAGGCCCTTCATGCCGGAGCCCAGCTGCTGCGCCGTGACGGACTTGGAGAAGATCCAGCAGACCCACGAGACGGAGGTCAGCGTCGGGAACAGGTAACCCGGCACGGCGTACCACAGGAAGCTGCAGGCGAGCGCGATCAGGAAGAACTTGGCCTGAGACATCCCGCCGCCGCTGCCCTCCTTATTCTCCTCCTTCTCTTCCCCCTTCCCGTGCAGCGCCCTGAACAGCGACACCTGCACGAGCGTGCCGGGCCACCACATTTGCGCCGGCTCCACCACGTACCTGCGCATCAGCCCCGCCCACCCGTAGCCGAGCACCTGCGTGGTGGTGATGAGGAGCCATGCGGGGAAGAGGGAGATGGACCGCCCGTAGAAGGCGCGGATGATGTCGACGATCATGACGGCGTAGGCGGACCCGCTGCCGAAGGCGCAGCCGGCGTTGGCGAAGATGGAGACGAGCACGTGCTCCTTCATGTTGAAGGGCCCCGGGTTGAGGCTGCACTCCCCGCCGCCGAGCAGCGCGGGGGCCTTGAACTTGCGGCGCGGCAGCACGCGGGCGAGGATGTGGCCCAGAGGCAGCGAGGCCACCTGCACGGTGATCTGGGTGACGATGAGCGGCTCGGTGCGGTAGGAGAAGAACTGGTTCAGGAAGCTCATGAGCACGCACGAGAGCAGGCCGAGTGTCCACATCCGGAACGTCCACACCGGAAGGGACGAGTCGTCAGTGACCGGAACCGTCAGCCGGACCTCCTCGATCGGCGACGCGTCGTCGTCCAACGCCCCTTCAGCGACCACGCCGCGCTCGACGTCGACGAACTCGCCCTCGCCCATCGCGTCCAATGCTTCGTTGTTGATCGGTCGACGTGTGATCGGTACGTGGTTCGTTGTGTGCTATTGGGAGCACGTACCCATGTATATTTATAGCGTAGCGTGGAGGGGGCGTGGGAGCGGAGTAGCCACTTCGAAACGGACACGGACCTATCCGTGCAGAGTGCGCAATGGCAGCCGAAACGGACACGGACCCGTAAGTCCGTATCGCATGCGGACTACGTCTCGACCGAAGTTGCACTGGAGGGCCTTGATCTGTGCACGCCAGCCCAGTATATGCTAGTTTGGTACGTGTGATCTGAAGTACGCCAGCCCACGTTCTGGCTACATGCCTGGATGGTGATATGGGCTTTTTTGGCGCAAGGCCTTTTCCATAGTTTTGTACAGTAGTTTTGTTTACATCCCAAAGTAGTAGGCTCACGCCTCAGTTGTCTTCTGTTCGTGCTGAGCATATGTGATAGACTGGGAAACAATTTTGCATTTCTAGATTTTTCAACGACCTTACAAAGTTAAACCTTAGGTCAACTTAGATCCTGTTGTTTTTAGATATGGATGAGGGATAATTTTGAGTTTATGATTTAATTATTCTGAGTAAGATATTACAAAGCTGAAAAAAACCGTTTTGAAAAAGATTATTAAAAATGTTGATGAATTAAATCATTATTCAATCATCTTAAAATATAGCAACAGTACACATTTGTAATGTACTCTCTCCGTCCCAGAATAAAATAACCTAGGATGTAGCCTCTCCTAGGATAACGAATTTAGAGAAAGGATTGTCCAGATTCGTTGTACTAGGAGGATCCTAGGTTGTATTTTTTTAAGTACGGAGAGAATAGGTGATGTATTTTTTTAAGATAATAGAATATAATATTCTAGCCTTGGCTCAAAAAGAACTACAGCCAATTATTAAAAGATCTATTCTAGGAGAGAGTGTAGTTCAAGACAAATTGAACACATCAAACAAGAGAAGAGAGGACACAAACTGAGAAAATCAAAACAAAATGTGTGGAGCTAGAAATAATAAACAAACTGAGAATAGGTGATGTATAAAAAAGTACTATATTACTATGCTCTGGAACACGAATAAATAGTCTGTATAGACTATGCCAACGCATATTGCGAGACCAGGCTCGAAGCTCCAAAGTCGACGGTCGAAAGTGAGCCCTTGTCCTTTGTCGCGGCATCGCCATCGCTGCCCTCCTATCAAAATCACCACGTGCGCCACATCCACGATTCCTTTGCACTGACCCTGTGCGGCTGACCGGCCGTGCCGGTACGCACTCGTCTCCACATCTTAGCCCAACCCCTCTCCACCACACGCGACGCGAGCACAGCACGTTGACACCTATGTTACACAGATACGGGATACAGATACGTGATACATCGATACGGTGATACACTATTTTTCAAAAAATATAGATACGGGGATACGTCCATATATATATATATAAGAAAATTATTAATTAGAAAGAAAAAAGGCGATTACAATGTAGCAATCTTTTCTAATAATCTCTTGTAGTTGATTCAGGTGTATACTAGTTGAGAAATAGCACCACTAATAAACATATATCCATCTGAAAAACTCAATGTATCTCAGCTCTGACTTTTCTACTTCTCTAACACCTAAACATATCACCGCATCCCACAATGGCTTCTTCTCACTGTCATTTGGATGAATGATGAATCTGCAGCTAGATTAGCAGCCGCGCTAGCTCTAGGAGTGCTAGATGCATTGACACTTCTAGTCACAATAATCATTAGATCTATAAAATATATATATACTCAAGCATCGAAGAGGCCAACAAGAAAACTGGAAAGGGAAACAAGAACAAATAAAATCACATGCAGATTCAAGCATCGAAGAGACCAACAAGTCAATCGTTCAATGGAACTTGCCTCACTGGCGAACGAAGGAATCAAGTCAGTGGCTGCGACGGCGGTGTTGTGCCATGTTGGCGTTGCGTCCGGTGGTGGAGGCGGTGAATACACCCTAACGCAGATCTGCATTCAGCGTCTGAAGGCCTGGCATGCAGCGACGGCGCCGGCGGCGTTGCGTTCGGCGTTTGGCGGCGGTGCTGAGTTCGGCATTCGGTGTGGTGGGCGGTGGCGCCGACGATGGGAAAGTGCCGCGAGCCCGCGGCGGTCTGGTCTCGGGCGAGAAAAGCGGAGGCAGCGCATCCATCGTTGCTAGGGATGAAGCCATACAGACGTATCGAGAACGTATCCAGAAATATTTTAATTATTTGAAAATTGTGAAAATCGCTGATACGTACGGGATACGTATCCAATACGTATCCGTATCCCTTCACGTATCTGATACGGATACATCACTTTCTAGAACGTAAAATCTATCTCGAGAGGCCTCTCGATCTGATCTTATCACGCGACGCATCTAAGGCCGTTCGATCCTACACGCTAGTGTAGTCGTCTGTTCCACATGCCGATATTGCTAAGAAGACCAAAACAAACCGAATCGGAAGCCACGTGACGCACTCTGTTACGCTAGAGAGAGTAGTTTATCCCCTATGTTTCAAGCAAATAGGAATCACTTATACTTCAAATTGAGTTTTCTCTTAAACTACTTATCCGATCTATGATCTGATTACGCCGTTGTGTTCGTAACAATTAAATCTTTATAACAAGATCTCACATGATTATATTTTGATGAAAAATTATAAATTACTTTTATAATATATCTAAATTACTTTTAGATTTCACTAAATTACTTTTTAGACAAATAAAAGTAAATTTAGTAAAGTCTAAAAGTAATTTACATAAATTATAAAAGTAACTTAAAACAAAAAGAAAGTAACTTTATCACAACATCAAAAGTAAATCCGTTATAGAGGTAAAAACATGAGTCTATATAGAAATTAAATTTAATCAGCACAAATTATGTCACTGACTAAAAATGATTATAAAATAAACAACTCACAATATTATGAATAACATTATGAATGTATAGATTTCTTTTAATGTTGTAACAAGTTATTTACATTTTTTTAAGTTACTTCTATAATATAGGTAAATTACTTTCAGGCTTTATTAAATTATTTTATGACTAAGAAGTAATTTAATGTAATCTAAAAGTAATTTACATATATTATAAAAGTAATTTGTATTTTTTCATAAAAATATAGTCATGTGAGATCTTGTTATAAAGATTTAATTGTTATAAACACAATGGTGTAATCGGATCGTAAATCGTCTGAGTAATCTAAGAGAAAATTCCATAAGAAGAAAAAAAATACATACACTTTTGAGTATACTAATAGTAACTAGATATAAGATTGAGATAGCTGGTTATAACTATACAGAGAACAGTCTCATCGTAGACACCTCCTTTCTGGAAGTATCAGGTAACGTAGGTTGACACCCAACACGGCAACACACAAACGTCTAGCGCCGCGGAAATGGAAAAAAAAAAAAGAGAAAAGGTTAGCGTTGCATAGTGCACACGCATAATGGCGTAGCATAGGTGAACGGTACCAATCCTACGTGCGGTTTCGGCGATTTTCTTTGACGTGCAGCGACAAGCCAACCGAGTTGACCGGACCGCCTATTAGCTCCGTCCCAAAATATTTGTCGCTTTAAAATTTTATTGGTAACTTTTGATCATTCATCTCATTAAAAAATTTATAAAATTATTATTTATTTTATTTGTGACTTGCTTTATTATCAAAAAATACTTAAAGTGTAACTTATCATTTTTTATATTTATATTAAATTTTTAAATAAAACGAATGATCAAATGTTATAAGAAAAAAAGTTAAAGCAACTACTAATTTAGAACCGAGATAGCAGTACCTAAAAACACAAAGCTTATGTAGCCCAGCAGCAGGTAGAGCTGTCCAGCCATGACGTGCGCTCCTGTAGCCTAGTCTCCCCTCGTCCCATTCTCCTCTCTCTCTATCTGTCGGTCACAGGGAACAAACATTTGGTAGGAGTACTAGTAGATCCTTCCGTAGGACCCACGGGGGCCCATGGCACAGCTTGGAGAAGAAATGATCAATCATCTTGCCTAGGATAGCTGAAATCGGTACTTTCGTTTGATACTCTTCAGAGTTGATGCTAAAAACGCCAGTGACTATAGTTCCTTTTTATGATGCCTACCCACACTCCATTGGGTCATAAATATTTGACCTTTAAGATATTTTATTAAAATTTTGAAATTTTAGCAACAAATGGCTTGTCAAATAATTTTAAGAAATTGTTGCGTACCTTAATCATAATAGCATAAAAATATTAGATTTTTTAAACTTATTATAATACAAAATTAATTTCTAAAGTTCTAAACTGGACTGAATCTTATCCTTCTTGTCAATTTTTAGACTAGTATGTTTTTTTAAAAATAATGGGTAGTTTGGTCCATAAGAGTATATTATTTCTCATCATTTTAAATCACCGTACAGTTTGGACGTTCAATTTGTATTCCGCATTTAGACCTGGTTTAGTTTCTAACTTTTTCTTCAAACTTCTAACTTTTCCATCACATCAAAACTTTCCCACACACATAAACTTCCAACTTTTCCGTCACATCGTTATAATTTCAATTAAACTTCTAATTTGTAGCGTAAACTAAACACACCCTTAACATCGTTAGAATTTTCTAAATTAGCAAGCCCATTCTTGTTGGAGCTAAGGTTCATGGATCATGGTAATGGAACCTATCTATAAGGTCCACTGTGGACTTCTACATGCAAGTAGATGGTAATTGTAGAATCCCTTCTCATACAATCCAATTCCACATTGAGCGCTTGTCAACAACTTTTGTACTCTTCATTCTTCCAACAAGTCTCTCACGCATGTACTCGATATGGTCCTTTTGCGCGCATAACTGTCAATGTCATCGGGACCCATGCGTAATCAAATGCAGATCTAGATGGGAGATACAATCATAGGGTACACGGGACGCCCATGCTCAGTGTTAACAATATATGTAGTTCTCACACAAATTTTAACAATTTGACCCTTTAAAAAAACTAATTTTATAAATGAAC